GAGAGAGAGAGAGGTCGGGATTCCTGCTCCGACTGGGAATCAGTGGTCAAGGCACCTTACGGTAAGTAGCGCGAAGAAAGTGAACGACAGCTAATGTGAATGGGCTTGGAGGGAAATAGGGAGTCTCCGTTCCCTTATGTACATCTTTTCACACTCTGAGGGGAGTCTGAGCTAGTATCCCCTTCTTTCTGCACCAGGGACAAGGAAATCAACACCTCCCCTCTATCATTCTGTTGCGTCCCTGCTACTGGACACCCATCTCATCGGATTCCAATCAATCAATTTGTCAATCGATCAATCAGTCGAATCGAATCGATCAATCAATCAATCAGGCCGAAGATTTGTTCCCAAAGAATGTTGCCTGTAATTGCTGTCAAAACAGTCAAATACATGCAGGGAAACTCTCTCTCACTCCTCGAAGAACATATTATCAGAAGGGGACTACAGGTAGTGACTCGGATAACTCCGTTTCACGTCAGAGTCGCTTTTTTTTTTTTTCTTCTTTTTTTTCCTTTTTTTTTTTTTTTGCAGCGAACACATTCCATTTCTGAATCGGATTCACTTTCGATAGCCCAGGTAACTGAGGTAAGGGTGCATCCAGAGTTGTTGGGGTGTTTGACAACCCCCAGAAGAGCTGAGGACAGTGAGAAGGGAGGGGGGAAGGGAGGGAGGGGGGAAGGGCGGAAGGGCGGAAGGGGGGAAGGGGGGGAAAAAGACTGCGACAAAGAAATAACATATAGCGGTCAGGAGTCGCTGCATTTGCATTGCTGCCATTGCGTGTTCTGGCTCCCAGTGATGCCTGGGAAGTCCAATGCTCGAAAAGAGAAGGGGGGGGGGGAAATGAAATTCCCATGCTCGAAAAAGAGAGGGGGGGGCAAAAAAGTGAAAGTCCCATTATCGGCGAGCCTCGTTACTGCTGGCACGACGAGGTCCGAGTGGCAAAGAGCATGGATTCATCTGGACGTGATTGGGGATAGGTGCAGAAAATGGTCATTTTCATCGGATTTTCTGCATTTCTGCGTAAACCCATCCAGATTCAGGCGCTTCATCCAATCCTCTTTGTTAGTGGGACCTTTACCTTGCTCCTGTAGTGGATGAATGCTGACCACAGGAGCAAGGTTAGGTCCCACCAACAAAGAGGACTGGATGATGACTATAGGAGAAAGGTGAGGTCCCACTAACAAAGAGGATTGGATTAAGCGCTTGAATCTGGATGGGTTTAAGCAGAGATGCAGAAAATCTGACCAATGATCATTTTCTGCACCTCTCCCCAATCACGTCCAGATTCAGGAGTGACATCCATGTTGTTTGCCAGTCGGACCTCGTTGTGCCAACAGTAACGAGGCTCGCGGATGATGGGACTTTCCCTCGTTTGTTTGTTTTCCTGTGAAAGGCGGCGGCTTTGATATGTATCAATTTACTTGGAAAAGAGAGGTTTCCTTCTCCCCCCCCGGGCAAAAAAAAAAACAATTTGAACGGAGAGTTAAACAGTGTGCTATTTCAACAAAAAAAAAAAGAAAAAAAGAGTCAACTGATGGCCGGGCCCATCGATCTATGATAGATCATCTCGTTCCTATGTCTGGACTGATCGCAGAATGCTGAAAATAGCAATATTGAAGAAAAGAAAAGGAGGAAAAAAAAAAAAAAAAAAAAAAAAAAAAAAAAAAAGAAGGAGAAGATTGGCAATGGGCGTCAGCACACTGCTCAACGAAACGAGAAATCGGCGAGTGGTGCACATGAGAAACGGGATGACCATACCTTTCTCGGCCTTTTGACGTAAGACCAAAAGGGCCTCTCTCCACTACTCTCGAAATGTGCCAAAAACAAAACAAAAGAAAAAGGTGCAAAACGAGAGTGAATCTTCGGCTACAGAACATGGAAAGCTTCACCGCCAATATTTTTGTCTTTTGGTCGTGTCAAGAGCTGTCGAGCGACCCCCGAGGTGTCGAGACTGACGGCTCGGTACCCGAAAGGCTGTCCTGAGGCCCTAAGCGTAGCGCAAAAGGCCGTCTCTACCCCAAAGAGAGAACCTCTTCCAAAAAAAAAAAAAAAAAAAAAAAAAGAAAAGAACCTCTTCCACACCACGTCGAGCCATCCGAACAACTTGGAGACACTTGAGGACAGATCTACAGAGGCCTCCACTTCCCCCTTCATGCCAGCACCCGACACATGTGCGCGCACGCCGTGCGAAGGGACATTCCCTCGGTGGCCGCTCTTGCACCCCAAGGGTCTCCCTCCGCCTACACTGCATCGAAAGATGCGCAACTTCCCCAACCAACCAAAAAAAAAAAAAAAAAAAAAAGGATGCGCAACTCGACAAAGGAGTGGGCTCCAAATTCCCTCCAATAGCTTCCATCCGAACTGAACCGCTGGACACCGTGGAAGGGGGAAGCACTCGACGTGCGGAAGTGTGGCACGGCGGAAAGTTGTCATTATACTTTTTCCTCCCAAACTCTGCAGATGCCACTACTCCGCCACGTGTCACCCGTGACACGTGTCCAAACAAAGAGGAAAAGCCAGGGGAAAGGTTGTTAATTCCTTCAAGCCACGACACCTATGTGATTAATTTGGCCGGCTGGCCATTCAGCCAGACTGGTGGAGAACCAGAAGTAGGAATGGGAGGAATATCTTTTGGTTTAGAAATGAAACACTTTGGCAAAAAATCGTGCCTTCGTGTCTATCGCTCCAGAAGGTTCCTTGATTTTCTCGGATTGGCTGCACCCGGCATCGGCTTGAACAGGGGCCGACGTCAATACCTCGTCAGTTAAATGTTGCAGTAGACAACACGCAGGTTGAAGGGAACCCTGTTTCTGAGCCTGAACACTTGAGATTGATTTTGACAGTAGACCTGCTCCCGACGTAAGATGCTCAACTTAGACATTTGGTGAGGAGGGTCTACCTCTTTTTTTTTTTTTTTTTTTTACAGGTCAACCTCTTTTTACAGAGCTTCAAGGTTTAACTTTTGTTTTTTGGAAAGCTACTTGATATAGTAGGGTCGCTGGACCCGGTGGTCAGCTGTAGTTGAGAAGGTTTATCTGGAATTGTAGAAGACATCGAGCCGTGCTCATAAGCTAAACTGGCTAAAGCTGCCAGGGCCACTCCGGGTTGAATTGTGAGGTCCCCGGCCTCATCCCAACTATCTTTGCAATATAAAATTCGGATGCTTTCTAAAAATAAAAAAAAATAAAAAAAATGGTCCTACATTAAAAGGGGCAAAAAAAGTGCGAGAGGGCTGGAACAACGTTTCCCTTCACCTGCTGGAAAGCGGCTCACGTCCTGAAGTTTTAAAAAGTTTTCATAAAAAGAACAAAAAGCGAAAACTACAGGGCGCAGTCAGGGTTCGAGTTTCTAAATGCATTTCAAAACTGTCGTTTCGTTTTGCAGTCCAGTCCCGTCCGCAGTTTACAATGAGGTCCAAACTCCGGTTTGCGGGGCAAGGTCCCACGTGCACGCACTGAGAGATTCTGGCCGTTGATCTTTGCTATCTATGATCAATATCGCTTCATTCGTGTAAGTGGGACCTAGCCGCCGGAGTTTGTAACTGCAGTTCAGTCAGGCAGGTGGCTGGGTTTTTTTTTTTTTTTCCCGGGCTTTGCCGAGGCACCTTGTAGCATGGCTGGCCCAAGGCAGAGATGCCTCGGCCACGGACAAAAAAAAAAAGAAGAGATGCCTCGGCCACTCCCGAGATTGAAAAAAAAAAAAAAAAAAAAAAAAAGGAAGGGCCACGTGCCTGACTGAAACTCCAGTGACAAACTCCGTGGTGGGACTTTTCTGCATTGTAAACTGCGGACCAGACTGGACTGCGGAACCGCACTGAAATGCATATAGAAACTGATTTCGTGACTGCGCCTTAGAGCCCCCTCTCCCCCCCCCCCCCAGAAAAAAAGAAAAGGAAAAAAGGAACCAACGACTTTTTTGCGTCAGATGTGCACCCAATCTGGGCCTGTAACCCCCGTTGTGCAGAAATGCTTGGAAGGGAAAGTGTTTTACAGGCCCAACAGGGGTGCCAAAATGGCGGGGAGAAGTTGCTTGGGGGCTTTTACACTTTTTGCGCCCTTTGGGGCCAATGCGTATAAAGTATAAAGGTTTCGTTGCGGGGGCAATTTATGACTTAATCCCATCCCAACCAAAACGCAGTGTGGCCTCAACTTTTTCCTACGGGTGGGCCCTTTAGGGCCCAATCGACTTTCTGAGTCTTTCTCCTCTACCACGCGACCCGGTGGCCGCGAGGCCCTTGACAATTACGTTTCCCTGCTATTTTGTTCCCACGCCGAGGTCCGAGCTTTTGGCCTATAGGAGTAAAATGGCTGCCTGACTCTTTCTTTTCTTTTCTTTTCTTTTTGGGAACAAAGCTCCAATCTATTCGTGAATATATATATATATATATATATTCGTGGGGAGCAGTTGACTGACTCACCGAGCGCCGAGCTCGTTTCCCAGATATTGTGTCCCGTTGATCACAAAGGAAAAGAACTGCTGCGGCCCACAAAAACTTTCGAGAGTTAGTTAGTTGCTTACGAATGGCTACCTCATCGCTTTGTCGCCTGCACTTTGCACAAGTTTGCAGCCCGAAACATGCCAGCTGTACACAGTGACTACACACAGGGTTACACGAAGGATGGTGCCGCAGTTACATGTCCCGCAGAGCTCACAGTATGAGGCATATTAAAGCCGGAACCTCGTGGTCTTCTACCTCCAT